CGGACCGCCTCCTGCTGCACCTCGTCCGGCGTATCGGTTTCATAGCCGGACGAGTCAGCGGAGGCGGCCCGCTTGGCGGGCGGAGAGTCGGGCGACGGCGAGCGCGACTGGCGCGAGGGCCCGCTGCCGCGCGCGGACAGCGCGTTCTTGTCAACGAGACGGGGTCCAGCATCGGCACGGCCCCTGGCACCGCGGCCCTTGCCGCGCTGCTGCTGCCCACGCTTCCTGCCCGGGTTAGGGACAGTGAAGGAGCAGCCGCGCACTCCGCCGCCGCTGGGCGGCGGCGGCACGCGCGCGGCGGCGGCCGGGCCCGCAGGCGCGGCGGGCTGGCCACCCGCGGTGGCACCCTGCGGCTGCGATGCGGCTGCGGCGGCGTACGTCTTGGGCGCCGGCTCCGCGGCTGGCGGCGCGGCGGCAGGGGCGGGCGGCGCCGCAGGGCTCGCGCTCGCAGGCGGCTCCGTGGCCTGCGCCTGCCGCTCGTGGCGCACGGCGCGCTCGAGCTGCGAGTGCGGGTGCAGCTGTACGATGACGTCGCCGCTCTGCGTCGCGGTGAAGGAGACCGAGTACGGCGCTTCGCCGTCGTTCTTCTTCTCCGCGTAGACGAGCGCGTAGTCGCACACCTGTCGTTGGTGGTCAGTGAAGATGGTCTCTGTGCAGCGCTCGGCGGAGCCGACGCGAGAGAAGTGCCGCCTGAACGCCATGCGTTCAGGCGCTGTTTGAACGTGCGCGATCGTTGCTCAGGTCCACGTTGTGTTTCTCATTTCTCTCTTGTGGCTTACTCGTACGAGAGAGCCATTTGCAAGTTGGCCGGGCTCGGGCACTAGGCTCTGAACGCGTCGGCGGCTCTGGCCACGATTACTCCCGCAGGCCCGCCAATGGGCGAGCCGGTGCTCCTCCTCCCTCCGCCCGAGGAGCTGGATCTCGACGAGCCGGAGGACAGCTATTACGCCAACATTCGCTGCGCCCTCCTCGTGCTCCTCCTCCTCGCCGCGACGCAGGCCGGAGCACTCGTGTTCACCCGCCGCTCGCTCGGCCCCGCCAACGCCGACGACAGCCGCGACTCGGTCCCCGTGCTGATGTGCGCGCTGGCGCAGGGGCTGACGTGGGCGCGCGCCGCGCTCCTGCTGCTGCTGCTCGGAGGCTGGGTCGACGCGCTGCCCCACGCCGTCGGCGCCGCCTCGTTTGTCACTTCGTGGGTCGTCACGCCTTTTGCGTACCTGTACCACGAGGCGGTCGGCGTGGGGTACGGATGGGGAGCGAGCGGCGTGGTGTCGCGCGCGGCTGAGGCAGCCGCCGTGCTCGCCCTCCTCGCCGTCCTGCTCCACGGCATCCTCTCGCTGCTGTCGACAATGCTGCCGCCGACGCTGCTCAACCTCTCGGGCATGGCGGCTCCGGCAGCCGCAGCCGGCGGCCGCGCCGGCGGTGCGGAGCTGAGCGGCTCAGTCGGCGCCGCCGCCGGCGCGCCCTCCCTCGACCAACTTCTCTGCGTGCTTGCTGGCCTTCTCGCCGCCGTCCCTAGATGCCGCATCTA